CCCCCCCCTTTCAATTACTTCTAAAATTCCTCCCAGACTACCAACAGTCTCTGCTATCAGTCACTTTACCACGATTACACCGATGGCTCCTTGTTTCCACATTCCGACCCATCGGAATCAGACTTCCAAAACTAAATCCAAGAGCCTGCAAGCCTTGCGTCGTCCTTGGCCAACCGTATACACAGCAGCGTATACCTATATTGCATTGTGAACCAATAGAATGCACAATTCGCGCATAGATCCCTGATGAACATCCATAACCATCAGCCTATCAAGTACTATATCGAGGTGTCCAAGTGGATTCCAGAGGGGCCTTCGGTCGCTACTCCCCCTCGTGCCGGATAGACCAGAGCAAGACCATAGCCAGACTATAGAGACTGAAGCGGAGTGACCAGGGAGAGGACTCCGTAGGAACGTTCCGGCTTGGTGGACAGGGAGGGCGCTCGGGGCTCTCGGGGCTCTCGGCCGATTGCCAGATAACCAGATTAGAGCTGGCTGAGTAGGTGGGTCGCGGATAGATACCCACCTAATTACATCTGGACGTTTGAGTGACACTTCTCATTTATTTCAGTCGTTGATCCTACGAAGGAGTACTCTTTATGTATATATGACTTTTATACGGGTATGGCTGTGGATCTAAGCACGTAGTGGCTGGAACGGTGCGGCAGCCAGTGGCCGAATGTATAGGAAGGAGAAGGACCACCAAAGTGGGTCTAGAAGACTTCCGCCTTCGGTTGGTCGCGCCTGGCTTCCACTGCGTCGTCAGAGTCTAATAAAATGTGAGGTAAGTTAAACGCTGATTGGTGGCTAGTCGAGCGACACGTGAATAATATTGCACGTTGTCAATATCCTCGCCCGGTATCATCGTCACGCTTCCTTTGTCATTGGCTTGTGTTCGCTTTGTGGCTCGGCACTTTTTACGTCGAATTCGATCCCGATACTATCTGTATTATCTGGAGTGCGCCTTCGTATCTTTCGATGCTTATAACTTTCCTTTCTAATGACCGTGTACGGATTTTACGGTTTATTTTAATTATTTTAATGGGACTTACTGTACGTGAGGCTATAGGCGTGGGACGTTACGTGTATAAAATCATGAGGACAGAGAGGGTACATTGGGAATTTGGGATCGTGCGTGGGATATCATATGTGAAATTATTGAAATTTCATATAACGTTCGGTACAAATTTATCGATTGAAATTTGTTCTATAGTGGAAATCGAATGGACCGGGGTAACTTTGGTTGGTGCATTTGGTCGGAAAATCTATATGAATGGATTCGTGTTTGTGTTTGGATCGATTTTTTAAATTTATAACTATAGTGCAGCTGGGATTGAAAATTAAATTGTGGAAGATAATTAAATGGATTATTTGCTTGTTATTATTATGGAGGAGGACGAAGAAATATTTTGTATTTGAAGTTGCTCGTGTGTCGAATTCAGGTCCTGTGTGTCGATAGTCTGCAAATGTAACGTGCGTAGCGGATGTATGATGCTGATTGTCATCGAGTCGAATGCATGCATACGGGACGTCTGTATTTTGCAAGGCTTTGCTACTCGACAAGGAGGACAGTATGAACGGCAAGTGCACTGTGGTATCGGTTGTACCCGACATCTTGGTGTAATCAGACACCAAAGTGGGGAGACTCAACGTATGTAATTGAAAACATCCCAGAAGATCGGTGCGGAGTCTTGTGATCTGTACCGCTTGCATCCTTGGATGCTGCGACTCTTAGTCCATTAAAAAGCATTTATTCATTCGTTTGCTTATCCACCTGTTATCAAAATATATACGAAAGTGTATTTAATTTCAATGATAATAATATATTTTTAATTTGCTTTGTAATTTTTCTTTTTCTTTTACCAATTGGCGTACTGGGTGGTTTCATAGACGTGTTTGAATCAACAAAATTTGTAGGTCTTATATTATTATTGTGCTTTGTTATAGTTAATGGTGTTGATTGTATGTTATTAATTTTTATTTTTTATTTACTTACCGCTTTATTTGTTGCATCTTGCGTTGAATTAGTGTGGTGACAGGTTAGATTTATTTAAATTTCGCTGTATTGGAATTTTTTAATAAAGATCATTTATATGTTAAGATATGAGAAATGTTAATAGTACATCCATGGAGACTTAGGACATTGTCCTTTAATTCCTTTTGAAAATAGGTTTTACAAGGAATTAAGTAGCGGTTTAAAAAATCATATTAAACTATAAATTTATAAGAAGTATTTTTTTAAAACTTCTCTAACGTTTGCTATTTTAATGAAAAAATGTTGAATTTTCTGAAAAGTCTATATTTGATTTTTCAAATAATTGTTTTTTTTTTAAATTAAACTAGATACTTGTGCGTTTCATATAGAAGTATTAGGTATTACTAAAATCGAAGTGAATTAGAGAAGTTAAGGCAATCAATTCAGTTTGATGGAAATAAAATTAGTAGATAAAAGAGTCATCTTCCAAAAAAAATTTTAAAAATAACATAAAACTCTTAGTCGTCAAAATCCAAAATTCGTAACTAAAACCTATTCACTGCAACAAATTGTTTACAATTTATATATAATTTCATTTCTACACCTTATAAAAACTTTATTACACCATACTAGATAAGGCTACAACTAAGCTTCTAGTGCACAACTAAAGCTAGTGGTACCACAATAATTCAATTGGACGTGTTAATTTCAACAGCCGTGAAAATCCTAAAGAACCCTATTACCAAAGTAAAATGGATTTGCAATTAAATTCAAACGAATAATCTGAAGTTGGCCCATTAATTCAATTTCGTTTAAAAGCCAGCTTCAGTTTATTACTTTAAGTTCATAACCCCTAAGAATATCGTTCATACAAAACTCCATAAAAAATCTCGCCTCGAACCACCCAACTAAGTAAAACCTTAAACTAAATAAAACCTTTGCATCTCCAGTAGACTAATAATCAATTAAAAGTTCTATGCCTCTTTACAAGAAAAAAAAAAAAAAGGTTCATAACCCAAAAAAGTTATCTAAAAATCCAGTAGATCTTCCATGAACAGCATCTTCCATGGACCAATGAACATTGAAATGAAATTTATTAAAAAATAAAAATTAAAAAATTTAATAAATAACATATCCACTACGAGTGTCCGCAAGCACAATATAAATTTCGATATATCTCAACAACGATATATCTATATATATCTCGTACACAGAGGCGCGTACCGTGCAACCAAAAGCCACGCACATAAATACATACATAAGATCTTATATGCAGGCAGGTAAAGAGGGTCAGGATAATGCATCTTAAAGTAGGTCTCCGTCATGGATAAGTAGGTGTAAATACCGGTAGGCAAGGTTGAGTGCGCATCATGCCGAAAGGGAAAGCCGCCAAAGGGCGGTTTTCGTCCTTGTTAATATTTTCAATAGGAAGATTTTCTCACAGCGGGTATACAGAAGGTACCTACCTATGAGTAGGTATGCCTTGCTACTAGGGTACGTATAGGTATGTACGGTAAAAAAAGGAAGCGCGAGGGTATGCAGTGTACCACCTCTGATGAATGCCGCAACCAGTGGCTACCATAGGTTCTATCTACGATCGCCTCCACGCTAGCAGCCATCAACGTCCAGCACCTTCGTTGGGTCGCCCTAACGGGAGATTACCATTTGTCCCCGATTGCTCTTACACAATTTTTACATCGCAGATAAACAGTACAGAAGTTGGCAATTACTCAAAGATCCGCACTGCGTCCGAAAAATATTTTTGCGACGGTCCGTATATGCCCGGATACGTACGGACTGCATTTCGTTTCTTGAAAACTGACTGCGAACTACAGATAACGCTAATTAGGTGAATTGATAAGCGTGTAGAAGTTAATACAGGATTCGTATGTGGTTAATGGATCGCGTGAATCGAGTGAAAGTGACAAGGAGACGTTTTCGCGGCTTCTTGTTGGATAAAATATTTTTCATAGATAAGCTCCAGAAATTATTCACACGAGATACCGAACGAGTCGTCGGACGGACGAAACGATGAAAATAAAAATACGATTGACAGAGTAATACTTACTTTGTGTGAAAAATGTATAGGTACGTATTACCTGACAGCCTCTGAAAGTACAGGGAAGAAAATTGTAAAAAAACAATTTTTAAAGTCTATACCTCCTCGCAATTTTGACGAAATCAATCGGTGGGTTCTTTCAAGTCCGCCGAAAAAGACGGTACGACCTTTCGGTAAAAATTTTCAAAGTCTCTTTTACTTGAGCGGCGGATCGTCTGTGCTCGGCCTATATACATGTACAGCGTGGATTCATCGATCCAATTCGACGTAAAAAGGTTGATAAATAAACTTCCGAAGACCGCGGTACTTTAATCTCCCTTTAGAGGCAGCAGCCGAAGCAGCGCGATGAATAGAGGGGGGCCGACTCATTATGGCAACATGCGGTAAGTATGCTCGCGCTTAAGTTGTACGGTAGTGCTATGGGCAAGCTAGGTATAGAGGAGCAGCAGTGAGAGAGAGAGAGACAGAGATAGGATGGCACGCAGTACAGCCAACAGAGAGGCGCCCGTTTTGAACCTGGAGCATCAGAGAGCCCGTAGCCAGGAACATATACTCGAGTGAACTAGGTATATATATATATATATATATATATGTATACATCCCTTATTTCGCGGCAACTCGTTGCACGGCTCGGCGCATCCGAATGCTCACTCCCCTGATGATGATGGTCCAGGTGGTTGCATACCCTCCCCTACTAGGCCGTCCTGTCTCCCTTTTCCTAGGTTGCCTCACTATCCCCACCTCTGGAAACTAGGTACTTATCCATTCGTCCAGGTTTCTAGCTAACCGAGATGCACGGGCACAGCTGCTCACGGGCCCACGCTGAGAGACGTGAAAGACGGGACTCCATTTTGGAGATAGATACTTTTTTTCTTTTATAAGCTCTCTCGCGTTCGTGCTTTATGCAAAGTTAGCTGACACGCGGTATAGGTACTTATTGCTGCAGTCGCTTCAGCTTTTACGTAACGAAGTTATTCTGTTTGAAGAACGCTCGTGAGATAACTTTGATTACTTTTTCAATTGTTATGAACGCGGAATGGGTTTCTCTTAGTGACATAGTTATTCATTCTTGGTTTGAGTTTATGGTTTTTAAAAATTTTCTTTCTAACCAATGTTATTATTATTTTGTCAAATTATAATTTCATAATGTAAGAGCATGCTTATGAGAATTGTATTGTTTATCGTCGAGAACAGACCTTTACTGGAAAATTTCACTGGGACAGTGCTCGAAGAATTATTATAATAATTTCGAAATTTCTCCGAGTTACGTGGGGAATGATTTTTATAACTTCTAGTCGAGTTTGAATTTCTATTATTATTCGCACAAAAATTATGTGGAATACAATAAAATTTTGTTAATAATTACGTGTAAATAATAGAGGAGCCAGGCCAATAAACTTTGAAATATTTCAATACGCTAATAAGTAGATGTCGAAGAACAAAAAATAATGGCTGCAAAACATTGCCGAGAGCATCAATCTCCCCGTGTAGACGGACGCATCGAATTATAGAATTTTGAAAAGCATCGAACAATTTGATCTCGAGAACTATGAGAACTCGAGAGAAATGTGAAAAGAGAGTGCCCAATACTGGCGTATTCCACGGACAGTAGATTAGCCGTGGCCCTTGTCATTCGACAAATTGCAGGTATTGTCAGTGTGTAAGCCATCCGTCAGGCCACTTCCCCTAACCTAAAAAGTAGGAAACAGCACCAGGTAAAACGGTGATCGAGAGAATAGGCAGGCAGTCAGTAATGGTGGTTATGGTGGCTATGCTGACTATAGGTTGCTATGGCGATGAAGGTGATGGTGGTGGTGGTCGGTGCGCTTAGAAGTATTTCAACTGTAATCCGAGGAACCGAGAGCCTGGATCCTTAGGGATGAGAGCACGCCAGCACGCCAGCACGCCAGCACTAAGAAGCAACGATACCGCGTCAACGCTGCGAATAACGTACTTATACCTGATCATCCAACCGCGGATTTGAATGGTCCTGGCATTAGTGAAACGATCGTGGTAACAGCAGGATTTTCAGTAAGCATCGCCGAAGACGCTCGGGCGCTCGTCGAGCCTGTTGAATAATGCCGCTCGAAATGCCAATACCAACCGGTGTAGATTACTTTTCAGAATGCGCGTCGTCACGTAAATTCGGTGTAGCTTGTGTCGACACAAAGCAATGTTTGCCGACTCTATTCTTGTAGCATTATTGTTCGGCGTGTTCTATCCCTCGTCTTTACGGAAACAAAGTCTCGGGCGACGAATGAGACTGTTGTGTCGCCTTGGCACAATTTTCAGCATGCTTTTGACACTATTTCTTTCTTCGTTATCGATACTTTCGGTCACGTCAAATTAATTCTATAGATCCCGAGGACTTTTGTACGTCGTAAGTTACAAAGAAATGGATCTGACAATACAATTTTTTTTTCAATATCTTCTATATTATATCGTCATTATTGATATGCAGTTATGTAATCGAATAGGGATGCATATCGTAAACAAATTTTTGATCGAATATGATTCAAAAGGTGTTCCACTTGACGTTAATGACAGTCTATATTAATTTGTTAATAAGAAAAAAATGGAATTTCAAAAAAAAAAATTTTGAAAATGAAAACTTCTTTTATTTGTATAATACTCTGACAGCTATTAGGCACGAGCAGATGGTGAGGAGATTCGAATAATGGCAGCGCTTGGATCGCAAACAAGGTAATCATAAGATTGTCCAAGTGTTTGAATAAGACGCAGCAGCGTAATCCATCTGGATTGGCCGTAGTGGTAGAGCTATATGGATATGATGGATGCTCGGTGTGAATCGGAGCCGATGAGCTTCTTCCAGTGTCGTGTTGGAGGAGACCGCATTCCTAGACGGCTTACCGGCCGGCTATCACGGTCCACCATCGGCTTCTCATATCCAAAGGTGGCGGATTTCTTTCTATTTCTTATCCAACTCCGCAGGGATACTCCAGGCGGCTTCTACTACTCGGCTCTACACTCCCGGGGGTTATGGCTGGACCAGCGACCTACAAAGAGACCTGCCGCAGCCACCCTGTCAACTCTGGAGAATTCGACACTGCTAGATCTTAGGGATTGCTCCGTTGCTCTGGTGGATGCTGATCCAACATCTTGATCCCACGAGTACAGAGACGAATGGTTGTTGGAGGAACCAGTGCTCTTTAGGAGCAAAAAGTAGTCATTGAACTTAGCGTATCTTCTTGGTGACCTACTTGATGACACTTTTATTAATTAACATTATACTGTTCTGCGTGAATAAAAATTGATAATACTTTATTCATATAATCATACAAAGTTGGGCATACATAAAGCTCCTGTGAGCATGCGCCTTGTGGTCTTCTAAGCTTGCAGAATAATTTATGTCATTTTTTGGCTGAATTTTAATTTTTTATTTCCGAGAAAGGTTATAAAAATTTTTTATTTATTTAAGAAAAATTTAATATTTTTAAGATGCTCTCGAAAATATCTATCGGGTCCTTAAGAGAGATATCAAAGAAAGAGGATGTCGAAGAGACTTTCTATGGTTTCTGCTGGATGTTGAGCTGGTACGAAATGGCGTCGCGGCACGCGATACGCCTTAGGCGACACGGATTGAAATTCTCCGGATTGTACAGAACGCAAGATGCAGAATGGCTGCTGGAGGGTAGATGGAGGATGCTGCGATTGGGCGCGCGGTGCAGTAGCACTCGAGGGAAAAGGCGTGCGATGGACTCCCTCGGCATCGGCAAAGCATTCCATACGTCAGACTCACCATCACCGCCGAATGATATTCAACGAAGGAACGGAGAGAGATCAGCGGGATGCTGAGGCCGAGGGCTACTGGTTTCTCCCGTTGAGACTTCCATATATCCACCGCGTGCCTTTCTTCGTCACGGCGAAGCGTGCTGCTCACTAGCAGCCACCCGCAGCGTTTACGGAGAATGGAATCACTCCTACGCAGCAAGAGCGCATCGTCCGCTTGTCAGTACGTCACTTCATTCGTATCCTCATCTGGGTCCAGACCAAGTCCAGATTAGTCCTTGACGTCAAGGTCAGTACCGAAGATTCCATTTCGCTGACCATAGAAAAAAAAAACAATTAACACAACCATCCAGTATTGAATTACCGGAGGGTATGGAATTGCAAAATTTTCGAAAAAAAAAAAAAAGTCAAAAATCAACATGCATAAAATAATCATTTTTATTTAAAAAAAATTCTCCACTATCGCACATACTACCGAACCGAACCAGCCTTCGAGACTTCATTGCCACGGCGTTTCCCGATAGACACGGAAGTTCAAGTAGCCGCTCGAAGAAGACGCGCAGCATCCGTCGTTGGTCCATGAGAGAGTTGATAAACCCACTCGACATGGGAGTTTAAGACATCGGCACGCGGGGCCCTACGAAATACAGAGAGAGGCCGCCGCGACGCTCCGCGATCGTCCCGACCGGATAGCCGGGCACGTCCGCGGGACATGACAACGAGATCGCTCACCCGGTGACAGGGGTGCGTGTGCTCTTGTGCGTGTGCGTGCCCCGTGAGGACTTGGCTGCGTGAGATAGGAGTGCGTGTGGATACGCAGATAGAGAGGAGGCAGACACGTGGAACAAGAGGGCCAAGGATCGAGAGACAGACGGACCACCCTGGCCACAGGCGATCATGTCCCGATCACGTAAACTGGCCGCCCCCTCATCCATCATGCCTTTGTGCTTCGTGTCATATTGCCGGCGTCTCTTCTTGCGAGACAAGTCCGCGTCGACGCTGCAAATTGGCGAGACTTGCAGTCCCTTCGTTCCCTCGGTTATTCACATCTCTGTTTCTCTTCGTACGCGTCACCCTGTATCCTTGGCCGGTATGCTTCTTCGGCATAACTCCTTAACATGGATCATTCTTACCCACTCGATTAACGTACATGAACCTTTCCACGCCTTAAGTAATTTCTTTGTCCCGCTTCGATATTAACACAGACCCCTGTTCCTTGTAGCTCTTCGATCTTCATTCGAAATTCCGTCATTTTTTACAAAGTACTTGTCGACTGAGCATACAGACAATATAATATTTGTATACACTAGGATATAAGGGATAACGTTAAAATTAATATCGATAGCATTAACGATAGTGTATTATTTTGGGATTGTATAAACAAGAATATATTATTAAATTATATTTAATTATGTTTATATTAACAATAATTATCTCGTGATATCAGATAGTATTATTGATAAAAGTATTATTATTGCGCATAGCCTATACCGCGTTACAAAACATAAAGCCGCTCTCCAAAAGACACGTGCAGCCATCCAAAGCCATTACTGTATCTGTGATCCTTGTCACCTGGTAAAAACGCATTACTAATACTCTATTACCATATGACCCCTTAAATTCGAAGTGCCGAAGCGTTATGCTACCAGAGCTCATGATATTGTCCGAATGGATTAAATATATCCATTAGGAATTTCAAGGTATTCCAATAGCCTCTATTTCACCATAATGGTTTCACTTCTTTACTAAATCAAAAAAAAGAAAGCCGTGTACATCTTGCTCACTCTGTTCAAAGTTGACGTATCGGTCGTCCAGAATTCCTAGCTTCGCGATAGTAAATTGTAATCGCCACGTGTCCAGAAATAGTCCTGCAAGAGTAGGAGAGAAAAGTGCCTATACAAGTTCTGAGCCCCAATAGGTCGAGTTGGATATAGGGACGGCAACAGCAACCATTAATAATACGTTTGACAGAGAACAAATAATTCACCACCAATGGGACTTATAATTCTATGTAATCTGGCAGTCTCTCTGCTTTCATCGCACTGGACACTGGCTCGTTAATTGTGAATTGATCGTGTTTGAATAACGTAATTAAACGCGGGCAAAAGTAATTGCGTAAGAGTAACGAGGAGATTCTGCTTTGCGAATGAAAACTAAAGACGCGAATGTGTATGTGGCTTAACCGGATGACCTGTCTATTAATTTAATTTAATTGGGCAAATCGGTTGGCTCTTCGATCAATTTTCGACTGGCTGTTTAATATTGACTTCGAAGAAAAATAAATGTGATCTTTGACATTACCGAGACAGTTGTTGGTTATTGGATTTTTATGGTTGTGAATTGTTATTATTATTTCGGAAAATTACGCAATCAATGCAACCACTGCAACGACTGGAATCGAACTCGATTAATCAATTGGCTGATAAAAGGCCGAGTTGTTGACGTTATCGATACGCTGTGAGAATTTCAGGAGACTTGGTGTCACTTGAGAATGCTGATGGATCTAAACAAGGTTGTACGTTAATTAGATTATTAGAACTGAGTATGAGGAATTAGTGACGCAATTTTGATTATCTTTCAAAATGGCTGTGTAAGTTTTTTTTTTCATGTTAATTATAAATATTTTTTATTTATCATGATGATTTACATTAGCATGTATGGTTTCATTGGAAAATATTTTTTTTCACTTGAAAACTTTTACTTGAACGCCTTTCATGTGCTTCGCAAGTCAATTACACGGATTATTAAAAATAATTTTTAAGAAATCAACGCGACATTTTCTATGTGGTTTTTTATATTCATTGAATAGCCCAAAAAACATTACTTATGGGCGACGTCAGTGTTACAGTAGGAACAGTGAATAAATATTGTGGAGAGATTAAAATTTTTTACATAAAACATAAAAGAGAAGAAAATCCGAAGTAAATTGATAAAGAAATGAAAAAAACAGGAAAATCTATAAAATACATTAGAGCAAGAATTTTTGGAAAATATAAATTCAAATGTATGCGGATCTTGTGAAATAAGAAAAGGAGGTGGAAAATGCGAGTGAAAGAGTTGCACGACGTCGGCACGTGCGAAGCTCGTAAACCGCAACGAAACGGCTAATAATATATTGTGGGCAGGTGGGCAATCCTCTCCATTGGCAGGACTAACGAGGATCTGTAATTACTAGCCACAACTCAGCGTCACGCTACTCGTGTCTAAGCTCCGTCTATTATATGGCCCACTCGACCCTCGTTTTCCGAAGCCACAAATCTATGAAGACTTACAGCCAACTGTGCGGGACCAATGCGGTTGGAGAGCTCAGTAACTTTTTCCACGTTTACAATTATTCGCCGTCAGATACTCATTTCCCCACATAACGGAAGCTTAAGTACTTGGTTATATAGTATAATAGTCTGTAATCATTAGGACCATTGTGAGTCCCTGCGGCAGTCATTCATCGCGTTAAATAGATATTTACTAAACCGATTATCTTTTATTAAATTCATAAATTACATCCTGAATACAATTCATTTTTTTCGTGCAATCGCAAACGCATTAATTAATATTTTGGAAAAGTTCCTTTTGAAATTTTGTTAAAAATTGAAATTTCCAAAATTCTTGTTTCTTGAAAATTTCGAAAAATTTCTTTTCCCTTGAGATTTTATCCAGAAACGACGAAACTTGCTCCCTCGGTCGAGATACCATACCAACCCTTAAGACCGAAAAACAGGAAGACACCTTCTGCTTACTGTTAGTTCGCATCCGGATAATCGCTTGTTCCTTGCCGAGGAAAGATCCGTCGTGCACGAAGATAAATGCTGGAATGCTCAGCGAATTAACGTAATCCTTCTTAAATAATAAACCATTGTCGCGTGTAATGAATCTGCAAAGAAAATGAGATGGTCGCCCATTGTCAGCTTTAAAGAAAATCCTGAAGAGTCCGCTGGAGTTTGTGGCTGAAAAATACTCGAGGCCCATGGTCCCTGTACCGCTTATCCTCATTAGGTCTGGACTTGGATATTTGGATACCCATAATCCCCTTTCTTCAACTCTTCTGGCTCGACCTACCTGACCAAGGGCGACAAATAATATCAAGTTGCTGCCCCTAGATTAAGGGAACCTGCTATCTGATTTTAAAAGCTGAAACCTCGGAATTCGATCCGTGCACAAAGGCGAGATGGGTCGGCTACGTGCTGGAACGATTTAAACGTATTTAAGAGATCGATCGACTGACAAAAGGGAACGAATACGATTTCGGTGGTGCACCAAAGCCAAAAAGGATTAAGTGCGCCTGTACTTGTTCCAGCAAATGGGAAATCACTCCACTCGGTTTGCCTTGACAATTACTTTTAAATATATTACTATAAGCCGACAAAGGGAGGTATGCGAATAATTGTATTGCATTAAGCATACAAACTATATACATAATTTTTAACTCCCAATTGTCCCCTTTCTAAAATCAAGCAGAAAAAAAATTACGTTTCTCATTCCATCGCGGTATTACGTGAATCAGCCAAATTATATTGAAAAACAAATTTTACTTGCACAGTAGATCAAAAATTGGAAGATTAAAAAATTAAAAAATACCAAACCCGCTGATTACAGTTAGAATAATTGTATTGCATTAAACATATAAACTATATACATCACTTTTAACTCTCAATTGTCCCCTTTTTAAAATCAAGCAGAAAAAAATTACGTTTCTCATTCCATCGCGGTATTACGTGAATCAGCAAAATTATATTGAAAAACAAATTTTACTTGCACAGTAGATAAAAAATTTATTGGAAGATTAAAAAATTAAAAAATACCAAACCCGCTGATTACAGTTAGAATAATTGTATTGCATTAAACATATAAACTATATACATCACTTTTAACTCTCAATTGTCCCCTTTTTAAAATCAAGCAGAAAAAAATTACGTTTCTCATTCCATCGCGGTATTACATGAAGCAGCAAAATTATATTGAAAAACAAATTTTACTTGCACAGTAGATAAAAAGTGTATTGGAACATTAAAAAATTAAAGAATACTCAACCGACTGATTACAGTTACCCAACTGCAGCCATCGGAGTCCAAAATTAGTCATACAAAAAAAAAAGCATAAATTTAATGAAGTCAAACCTAACCTATATTCTTATCCTCCATAACCCGTCTTCACGTTCCACGCCTCAGCCGGCAAGTAACCGCAAAGCATATGCACTGCAGCGAAGTAAAATTGTTGCATTCACTAAATAAAGATATCTTCTCACGAAGAGAAGACCCTTTAGCAAGTGAGACTGATATAGTATGTCTGCCTATAGAAAGACTATATAAACGTCAGAGTCCACGTGGAGCAGCGCGAGGAGCCGCGGAGTGCACAGGAGGTTAACAGGACTCGAGAGGTGGTAAGAAGTAAGCGGGTTGCAAAAATAAAGAGCCAGCGGCGCGTCGTTTTGCGTCGGTTTGCCTCACCGCGAGTTCCTTTGCTCTTGTGACTCGTCTCCGCTCGTTATTAAATGAATGCCTACGCCTGTACGTAACCTATACCCGCTCTTGTACACACAGTCCTCCGAGTCGGAGCGCGAGCGAACGAACGCTCGAAACTTCATGCTGATGAACACGTATACCGTGTGTATAGTGCAGGACGGCAGTAGTCGTGAGGCCTGTGGTGGCGGCGGCGGTAGCGGCGGTCTGATAGATATCAACTCTTTGATGTTTACCGCCGTCATCTTGCGCGTTACTATGTGTACGGGTAAACGAACGTGCCAGAGGTTGCATTGCTAACGTAGTCGAGCACCACGTCCGAGGGTGGAATCGCGCTTTGGCACCCCTCTATATACCGTACAGTATATGCTAGCTGCCCTCACCCTAATCCTGCTCTCGCGTTCTCTACAGCCATTTACCTCCTGCCAGTGCGATACAGTTTGTAAACAGCGTAAAAAAAGCCACTCGATAATTCGTTCAAATCCAATACTCGTCTAACAGACTTTTTAGCTATATATCTACAGTTGGCTCTATGACTTCACGTGGTCGTTATGTATACTGTATATACCTATAGTACGTTCATTGTAACTCGCAAATACGTATGCTTGGTAAATTTAGTTTTTCATTATTTTCCTCGCGTTTTTTCGAGCTACGATTTAATGAACGTGTAAATAACTCGGCGATATGCTCGTCCAATGCTTTTGAATGTGGCGGACAATGCATTGGAAGGCAAAGTGAAATGATTATGGATAATGACTGGTTTGTCGATTATAAGATGCGAATATTTTTGTTGGGTGATAAAATCTGCTAGTTAATTGTGAAATTAATTTAATTCGGATGTTTCGTTATTACGACGAATGATTTTATGGGGTTCATTTTTATTCGTTTTATCGCTTTCATCTCGTCTCGATCTGTGAGTAAAAAATATATGTGACCAAGTACCGAAAGTAATGGTCTAGGAAAATAAAACAGAGTTCGAGCGTCGCGACACGATGACCGCTCCGGAACCAGTCCGGGCATCGATACTCGTTAAAGTTTGTCGCATCTGCGATCGGATCAAGGCGAACAAAGATTCCAGTGACTGGTGCGCGCCCGTAACGGATGACTCCTACGTGAGCCTGCAGGTTCGCGTGGAGGAGCGCAAATGCCGACTACTCGACTAACGAATAACAATGATCTGGCCATCGCTAGGTACAGTGCGGGACACGCGGTTTGTCGAGCCGTAGGAACACGTGGATGCTTAGAAGAGCCTTGATCGCGACAATCGTCAATCGAGTAAGACTTCTGTGTATAAAATAGGGAAAGTAATGAAAAAAAGTAATGAAGAATAAAAAAACCGAAAATATTATTTTACCCCTAGCACGTCAAACCCAGATCTGGCCAACCTTGGGATACACTGCTTTCATCTGTCGATGAAATTTTTTTTTGGAAATTTTCGAAATTTCGAACAAATTTTTCACGTAATTTGTTTTTACATGAAAATTCGTATTGGTATAATTTATAAAAAATATTGGTATTAGTATTATTCAAGGAAGTGACTTGCTGAAGAATTTTTGTAAATCATTTCTTTGGGTCAGATGTTAAGTTTAGGTTCGTACGATTATTAATGGTCGGTAGTAATATATAGAATAGACTGAGAGAACCGAATGCATTGTTCAGACGTCGCCCATTGAAGAACGAAAGAGTTCGTTCGGTAAAACCGAATGGCATAGTACCTACTTTACTCGAGTGCAATTCATTCGGAATTTTAGCATTGGTTTACGGCTGGGCTTTCTTCAATGGTGACAAACAGCTGATGACTCCAT